AGCTAAGCTTTTTAAAATGTTTAATTTAAAATTAAAGTTTGTATTTTTAATTAATATTATTTTTATTATTCTCTTGATTTATTTTGAATTTTTACTTATTTTTTTTAGATTTTGTGCCTTGGGCCTGGCACAAAATGCCTGTTTTCTTTGTGCTTTACGCTTTTAAAAGACTTTTGTGTCTTCGTGTAGTAGTTGCTGATAAGTGCTTTTAGCAGATAGGTATGCGGAGCTTCAGTAGTGTCTAGTTGGCAATCTAGAGGGTTCTAGCATTGATCTGAGAGATCTTGAACATTAAAGTGTTAATGCTTGGAGGTGTTGATCGAAACCGGTGATTGGACATCTTGTAGGAGGGCGTATCTGCAGTTGAAGCAACCTAGGTGCAATCTTTGAGCCCTTTTCATTTTAATGGCAAATACCTAGTTCTTTAGAGATGGTTGGTAGATCTTGAGAGACGTAAGGCTTTTGAGGGTTACCGTAGATAGAGAGTTCGAGTATTTGCAGTTGAAGCAACCTAGGTGCAATCTTTGAGCCCTTTTCATTTTAATGGCAAACACCTAGTTCTTTAGAGATGGTCGGTAGATCTTGAGAGACTTGAGGCTTTTGAGGGTTACCGTAGATAGAGAGTTTGAGTATTTGACCTTTCTCTTTACACTTGATGTTGGGTGGTGTTCAAGGAACTAGGTTAGGTGGTTTTGTAGATGTCACCAAGGAAAACCTGGAGTGGAGTTGTGTTGCTTCCTCACACTCATGGTTTGGGCAAAACCACCTTGCCAGATTCCGTCTTATATGGCTTTAGAGGTTCTCAGCAGAACCCATTTGGTTCGTGTGGTAGTTGAATGTGAATGGTCATTGATAGAAAAAGGTTCACGCAGTGCACTTAGTGCAATTGGCAGGGTTCAACAGGAGGTGGTTATTCAAGCAACCCAGGGATTTTCAGAAGTCACACAAGTGCTCAGGTCTTGCCTCAGGTTGGGTTGCAAGGGAAGGATGGTGAGAAATAGAACAAGGTTGTAGTTGATGTGCCTGGGGAGCAAAGAGAAGTAATGGGCAAGACAGTTGTTGGGGGTAATACTCAAGGATGTAGGAGGCAGGACTTCACTGTTCAGGGTGGATGATGTTGTGGAAGGCGAAGATGCAGATGGAGGCCCCTGCAAGCCCTGTCTGCTTTCAATATAGTTAACAGATCAACATCTGTGTGGGTGGGTGCTGCAGCTATAAAAATCGGCATCCCTACCTCAATGGAGTTGAAAACTAGAAAAGTTTTGCTCTGGTGGGTTGGTTCTGAAGAAGGGTGGTGATGATTGGTGCCAAGCACCATGGTTTAAAAAATTTCAGATTTCAAATATTGATACTTGTGTGGTTCTTAATGACTAGGTAGTTAGTTTATTGATAAAAAAAAAGACTAGGTAGTTAGTCTATTGGCTGAATTGTTAAGTCTCATTCAAGGCATAAAGCCTTATATACCCAAATGGATGATGAAAGAATTTGGTATTGGGAGAAATCAAGCAAGTACTCAGTCCAGTCATTCTATGTCAATTTCTCCCTCTTGCAGGAAAATGCTTTCCTTTGGGCCAGAATCTGGTGCTCCCACATCCCATCAAAACTAGACTTGTATGGACTTGGAAGATGCCTAGCTACAGACAAATTAATAAGAAAAGGGATGCCCCTGTCTAATGCTCTTTGCTCTTTATGAGAGACTAACATGTATTAATGAAGTTATATCATATATGACTGATAAGACAATATTAGTTTATACATGACCAACTGATATAACAATATTAGCACTTCCGCTTGTTTTCTTTGAACCCAAATATTGGAATTTGTTCACAAGATTTGAATTAATTTTGATGTTATGAGAGCCCATGTAATTAAGTTATGTCATATGTGACTGATTAAACAATGTTAACTTATACATTTGACACAATTGATATGAATATGTATTGTTTCTTAAAATAAATAGGTTATATTGATTCCTCTGAGAACCTTGTCAATTGCTGTATTCTGTGACAATTTTACTATCAAAAGCACAAAGCTCATTTATCCATGTTATGCATCTTCAATTCTGCCATTTTTAAATCAATTACTTAAAATTCCATGCATTGTATTCTAACCACTAGCCTAATTGAAGCACATTATATATTAAGCATGTGGAGGAGATGAAAAGATCTAGGCAAAGGGGTTTTGTTTGCAAGTTGGATCTTGAAAAGGCCTATGACTGGGTAGGTTGGCAGTTCCTCTCTCAGGTATTGAGGAATTGTGGTTTTGGGGAGAGATGGTGTAAGTAGATACTTGGGTGTGTTAATACTTGCCACTACTCTATATTGGTCAATGGTGTGGTAAAGGACTTCTTTCCAGCTCGTAGGGGTATCAGGCAAAGGGCCTCACTGTCTCCGTTCCTCTTTACTTTAGTAGCTGATGTGTTGAGTAGAAGCATCGCTAAGGCGGATAGGGAAGAGATCATTAGGGGTTGGAGAATAGGGAGGAACAAGATCCCAGTTACCCACCTTTAGTTTGTGGATGATTTAATGATCTTTTGCAAAGGGGGGTTTAGTGAGAAGGTTTCTCTGGAGGAGTTAACAACAAGGTTCAAAGTATTGATACAATACGAGTTTCAGCCGTATCGTATCGACACTTAGAAACGGCTGAAACTCTATTTTTTTTAGTTTTTTTTTTCAAATTTTGGTTTTTTGGGAAGCTTTTAGCATGCTTTTTATTATTAAAAAAATTGGGGGTTCGAAACACTTGGAAACAGGCGTTTCGGACTATCGTTTTCAAAGATACGATATGATACACCCGATACGGGGCGTATCATATTGATACTTTGAACCATGGTTAACAAAAGGCTTTGAAAGAATTTCCAATCTGAAAATAAATTTGGAAAAGAGCTGCAATAGCAGGCATTACTTTGGAGGATAGTGAGAATGAGGCTATTGCGGGGTGTCTTGAGTGTTCTATCTCATCTTGGCCTTTGTCCTATCTAGGGCTTCCTTTAGGTGCAAACCCTAGGGAGAGTAGATTCTGGACCACAGTAGTAGAGAAGTTTGAGAAGAGACTACCTTCATGGAAGAAGAATTACATTTATTTGGGTGGCAGGATCACGTTAATGAAAGCCACATTAGCAAATCTACCTACTTTTGTGTGTCTTTAGAATTCCGCCTAGGGAAGCCAAGAAACTGGAGAAATTAATGAGAAACTTCCTTTGGGAACCAAGACAAGGAAAAAAGGATCATTTGATTAAGTGGGAAATTGTGTGTAGAAGTGAAAAGGAAGGGGGTTTGGGACTTGGGGGTTAGGAAGGGTGGTTTAAAAAAATTAAGCATTATTGGGGAAGTGGCTTTGGTGTTGGCCCTTGGAGAGAGAGAGAGACTTTGGCATCAAGTGGTGGGGAGTATTCATGACACCTCAAAGGACGGGTAGGACGCAGGTGTATCAAGGTGGTCCAACTTGGTAGTACTGTGGATAGCCATCCACAAATTCATCCCTCAGTTTCTCAGATTTGTCGGGTATGAAGTTTGTTCTGGTAATTCTGTCAGGTTTTGGGAAGATATCTTGGTGGGAGACACCCCTTTAAAGGACCTCTTCTCTTTGCTGTTCTCTATTTTTTCTTTTAAAAAAGAGGTGATTTCAAAATTTGCCGCATCCTCGGGAACACCATTGGAGCCAAATTGGGATTTTGGATTTCGTAGGGGGTTAAGGGATGCTGAAATTGATTCGTTATCTCTTTTGCTTGGCCTACTAAATCAAATTTGTCTAGATCCCTCGAAACCCAACAAAAGGGTAGGGTTCACTTGTGCCTCTTTCTTTAAGTCCTTGTCCCAGCCTCTTACTCAACAGGTTTTTCCCTTGAAGGAAATTTGGTTTAGGCCAATTCCCCCAAAGGTGTACTATGGGAAAGTAAACACTTTAGAAAACCTACAAAAGAGAAGACCCTTCCTTTGTATTTCTCCCAACTGGTGTACCCTCTGTAGAACTCACAGGGAGGACTGTTACCATGTATTCGTTTCATGTCCACTCTCTACAGAATTGTGGATTTGGCTTCTCTCTTTGTTTGGGTGTAATTGGAGCTCACCAGCAGAAAGACGTTTGAGCAGCCCTATTCAATACACAGTCTTTCAGTTGGCCTACAAAAAGAGGAAGATCAATGTGGAGATGTGCGAGAGCAGCCTTAGTTTGGACAATATGGGAAGAAAGGAATGATAGAATATTTCAAGAGAAGGAAAGAAATAACCAGCAACTAAAAGACTGTGTATTGAATAGGGCAATACAATGCTTGAAGACTTTGGACCTATTCCATCAGTTCTCCTTTAATGACTGTTGGAGAAACTGGTTGGCAATAGCGAGGTGCTCTTCCATCAAGAACAAGGTAGTCCCAAGGTGGTGTCCTCCGGCTGAAGGCTCACTAAAACTGAATTTCGATGGTAGCAGCTTAGGCAATCCAGGGCCCTCTGGAATGGGGGGGATTCTGAGGATTGAGCTTGGAGAGGTTGTTCTGTTGTACTCGGGTCCTTTGGGACTTGGTGACGCTGTCAGGGCAGAAATGCTAGCTGCGGTACAAGGGGTGCATTTTGCAAACCAAATGGGGGTAAAACAACTAATTATTGAGGGGGACTCAATGGTGGTGGTGGGCTGGTTAAGGAAATCTGCTGAGACTGTTTGGTGCTATAAAAATGAAGTTAAGAAAATTAAATGGTTAACAAGGAACATGTCAGTCTCTATTCAGTGGGTGGGGAGATCTGCAAACGCTTTGGCCGACGTGTTAGCCAAGCAAGGGGCAAATAGGGAAGAATTGTTTTGGGCTCAGTTGTGATTCCAGCAATTGTTTCCTAACTTCTTTGTATTTGTCAGGAGGGGCTGCAGCTCGCACCTCTCTAAGGGATCTTGCATGAGATTGTAATCCTGAATCAGTTCCTGTTTTAATAAAATTGCACTGTTACTCATAAAAAAAGTCTTATTAGAATATGGATCTAAGAGTACCAAATTTCAACTTCCTGTCTTTACAGGCTGTAAGAGTGGAGCATTGTGAACGTGTGCAAGTGATAGTAGCAGCAAAACAAATTTGCATTGCCAATTGTCGTGAGTGTGTTTTCTTCCTAGGCATAAATCAGAGACCACTCATTCTTGGAGATAATCATAAACTGAAGGTGCGAAGGTTGCTGTTATTCGTTGTATATGTCATTGCTTGCCATATAGTGTAACTAAGCCCACTATTTTTATAATATATCATCCTTTGCAAGATATGATTCTGATATCGTGTTTACATTATAATTATGCATTATATTTGTCCGGTGTTCTTAAAAAGGATTTGCATGTGATTTAATGCTAAGAATTAACCTGGTATGAATTCTCTCTGATGATCAATGCACATGGTTCGTACCTCTTTGTTTTGTACTATTTTTGTCTCTTCAGGTCTTTTTGGTGAAAAAAGGTTTGCAAAATTCCCCCAGCTGTTTTATTTGTCAATTAGATGTCTTTTACCATTTCAGTTGGCACTTCCCTGAATTTTTGGGGGTTTAAACTTGAAAGTTTTCTCTCCTATCATTTTCATTTGTATATAAGATTTTGATTTGGTTTGATGAAATTGTACTAGTGTGTTCAAAACAGCTTGGTTGTCTCAAGCACATAACATCATTCAGTTTGAAGTTTGAACCCACAAATGAATGCTGCTGCAGATGTAGTATCTTTATGTTAACCCTTTTTTGAGGCCCAGTATCAGTTTTAAGGCTAGTGTGTCCAAAACAGCTCGGTTATCTCGAGCACATCACATCATTCAGTTAGAATCCAACAAATGAATGCTGCTGCAGATGTAGTATCTTTATGTTAACCCTTTTTTGAGGTCCAGTATTAGTTTTAAGGCACTCAATCCTATTATGCAGAAGTTGTCTTACAGAGGTCATATAACATTCATTATCTTGGCACTCTAAACAATTGCTGCTTTGTGGATGTTTCTTTTTGTCAGGTAGCACCATATAACACATATTATCCACAATTGGAGGAACACATGATCCAAGTTGGTGTTGATGCAAGTTTTAACAGATGGAATGAGCCCCTGGTGCTGGGCATGGTTGATCTACATGATTCATTATCTCATCCTGCTGGGGTCTCTGATGTTCAATCTGAATCGGCAACATGCCTTGATCCTGATCAGTTTACAAATTTCTTGGTATGCTGATACTTCTCTGGCACTAGTAGTGGGAGAAGACACACAAGACCATATTCTATGTGTTTCCTGTGCAAGTTTGATTTATACAAATATAATGGTTGCTTCCTTTTGTGTTCTATATAATATCTATGTGAGCATGTATGTTCATGTGTTAGTCCTAATTGAATTGTCAATTGGGCATAATAATGCATCACTTTTTCAATTTCCAAATAATGTTGAGTCAATTATGGAAAACCATGTTGCATAATCCATTTTGCTTTTGTTGTACAGATTCCCAATTGGGTGGGTGGTGAGTCACCCAAGTCCACAAAACACAATCCATTTCCGTTGCCTGAGGTCTATATGGCATCACAGCAGAAAAACGTATGTGGACTAAACCATGCTAATTGTGGTGAACTGCTGTAGTTCTTATCTAATTAGTGGGCTGCTTTTATGCTTTATCATTTATATGGCTTTTACATGTTCTTGACATTTTTTTTTCAAATTTACACAATGCTCTGCATTTAAACATATCATGCACCAAGGGTTTTAGTGCGCACCTGGGGCACAATGAGCTGCGTGCACCAAGGGTTGTCATAATATGTCTTGGCTGCGGAGTTTTCTTGTAGTGCTTGCATGTGGCTGAATTTTATGTCCTTGACCATCACACCTGGATAAGGCTTGGGTGCACCATGCACCATATAAGCTGCCAGTTTAATGTTAGATTTGACTTATTCCTCAAATCTGCCTCCTATGCTCAAGCAACTGTTTCTTTTCCAGCTTCAGAATTTAGGGGAAATAAAGCAGTCTTTGAGAGAATTGCAGCTTGAGGAGAGCCGAAAACGGGAACTATCTAGTGCTCTTCACGTATACTTCAAAGATTGGCTTTATAGTAATGCTCGGATCTCCTTTTATTTCTTTATTTTATTTTCTTATGGATCAATATTCTGAAAATTGATATTCCATGTATAATTAGAAACTTAAATTGTTTTATGCTAATTCCTTTTGATAGTAATGCATCTGAGAATCTCCTTTAATGATTATTATTTGGGAACCCTATTGCAATTTTAATTTGCAATACCTCACATCTAAACTCCTTTCTTGGTAATGCCTTCACTTTGTGCTCCTATAAGAAGAAATTCTTAAGTGTTTGATTGATATGACTACAACAATTTAGTGATTTAAATTTGGTGCTTTAGTTTCTGTGAAAGTGATCATAGAACATGATATTGTGACCTTGCTTTGAAACTTCAACGCTACCTGCTGCATTTTAAGATGTTTGGATTTCAATATGGGGGAATGTTGGTCCTTAAAAAAATGAGAAACATATACCAAAAGGGGAACATGTACTAAAAGTGGAATACAGCTGGAAAAACTCAAACCGACACAACTGAGACTCTGGAAAAGAATAAAAACTAATTATGCATCCTAAAAAACTGTAGATTTTCAAAATTGTAGAAATAGCATCCATGCATAAAAGAACTTTGCACTTCTTCCATCAAAGCCATGATTTCAGCCTGTAATGAGCGTCGCCTAGACCAATTGGGCCCAAGAAAACTGAGTTCCCCAGGTTTCCCATACTCCTTTTACCCTTTGAAGCCTTTTGCATTTAGGTAAGATTATGAAGAGAGCCTCTTGTTATGCATTTTATCTAAATTGAAAAAATGGAGTTTGTTCAGACAACAACCTGGAGAAGATTTCTAAAGCCTGAGGCTAAAAACCTACTCTTTGAGAGGGCACAAAGTAAAAGGGAAAATCACATCAAAGATCAGAGAAATGAGGAAAGCTATGTTTATGCTGGTAGGGCTTAATGTGGTTGAGTGGTTTAAAGTATTTGTAGAGGGAGCACTTCAAACAGGTAAAGAAACAAAGTGGAAGAGTTCTAAAGAAGAAAAAGAATGAAGGTGTTTGTTGAAAGAAGATGGAACACTAAAGATAGATTCTTGGCTCTGCTTGAATATTTTGGAGAAGGGAAGAAGCAGCTGGTGTGCATTCCTGAAGGAAGAAATGGCTCAAGTTGGAAGGAAATAAAAAATGTATTACAGGACTTTTTGAAAGAGATGAAGGAAAGGAAACCTGAAAGTAAAGGGTCCAGTACTGTTCACCACTTTTGAAGACTGTAAAACAGTGATAAACTTGATGGAGAATGGATTAGAAGTTGGTGCTTTAAACCAAGGATTACTAACAATAGGTTAGTCAAAATAGCTACAAATAATGTATAAATACATAAGAATTGTATATTTTGACAGTATATATGAAGAAAAATATTACAATTAATATAGCGGAATGCATAGATATCATACAATTTTATTGATATGCATCAATCAAGATTCCAAGAAACATATTATATAGATTTTTACAAATTAATACATGCACAAAGCCATTATTATCTTATTTTATATTAAAGTCCAAGGCACAAAACATATGCAACTATTATATAATTTTTTTTCTATGTCACTACTTATAAATTTTAACATTAACAAATTATGGCCACGATTTAACAAAGTCTGATAGTAAATTATTGCCATCAATCTGCAAATGCTGATAACCAATTATGGCCATAATTTAACAAAATCTGATAGTAAATGCTACAACCACTTTCCAAGCAAGGCATTATTCCTAACCTTCAGATGCCCAACTCCTGTTGATGTGTTTCATGCAGTGTTGTAATGACAAGATGAACATTGTTATCTTTTACAGGGCATCCAAAGTTATGTTTATTACTACAGGAGCTTTTCTTAGGAAAGCAAAGAATATAATGAATTTTTTTTAGATGAGTAATAAAAAAGTAAGGGTGTATGAAGATCCAAAAGTAATTATATCTCTACTTGATGGTAGAGATGTTGGCTGACTGATGAGAAAAAGAGGGAGCGGAAAAATTCCCAAATCAGAGATGTCAATGATATTCTTCCCACATCTTTGCCCACAGCCCACTTATCTTAGAAACTAACTGCATGAAAGTTTCTATTTTTGGATAAATGTGCTTCCTCCACACTCAACTAGCTTCAATTGATTTTCATGACTCTGCAAGAGCCACATAAAAGGATTTCACTGATTTTTTCCCCTTTAGAATCCTTTTTCTGAACTAAATCAGCCAGGAAATTAGGGGTAATCTCCAACTTTTGCAACAAAACGAGGTATTCTTCAGTCTACTTTTGAAGGAAAAGTTTGGAAAATGGGATTTAAAACAGTGTTGCATGGACTCTCCAAAATGGATGATGTATCAGTGTCTGGATACACATTGGAGTTCTGCACTCCACAGATTTTCTTGAGGGCACTACTATGTGTAGATTTCCTTTTTATCTTCTAGCTTTTTTGACATAATGACGGAGTAAAAAAAAAACAGCTAATGTACAAGATCAATGCCATGTTTCATATCAAGGTTTTACAAACCAACCTGGAAACAGAACCGTTTTGGGTGCTGTTTTCCGGTTCGGTGGTTCAACCGTCCAGGTCGAACGGTCCGACCCATGACATCATAAATAAATAAAAAAACAAAAAAAATATATATATAATAAAAAATACCATAAAAATAAATAAAATACAGAAAATACACAGAAAAATACAGGGAAATGAACATCATGTGAAAAAATAAAAAATATCTAAATATAAAAATAATAAAATACAGAAAATACAAAAAATACAGAAAAATTCCAAAAAATATAGAAAATTCCAAAATTACAGAAAAAAACACAGAAATTACAAAAAAATACAGATATTTTTCCTCCAGTTTGTATGAGGAAAAATTCAGCCATACAGACATCTAATGTTTGGAGCAACACTTGGGAGGAAAAAATGCTTGGAAAAAATACTAGTGAAATATATATACTATCAAAAACTAAATTGAAATCAGATAAACAACCAAAAATTAAGCTGAAATACATTATTAAACAATTCAACACTTTTGTCTTAATATGCTGAAATATATACTATCAAGTATCAAATAAATCAAATGAAATCAGTCTGAAGTATATATTTTTTGTATTAATAAAATAAATTGAAATAAAACAACTACATTGAGCATTTCAAGTTTTCAACACTTTGGTCTTTTTGAAAGTAACTACTCTAAGAGATTAAGAGAATGAATTTCAATTCTAACTTTCTAGTTTCTAAGAGAATGAATTTCTTCAAAAAACTATTTTATGTTCTTGAGCATTCAAAATACTAGCCAAAGAGCCAAAAAGAAAAGATTAACCGATTCGGGCATACGAACAAAGCATGAGACATGATATAAATCCAAAGTTTAAGGCTTTAAGCTTCAAAAAGCACGGTAATATACTAGTTTAAGCTTCAAAGCAATATTAGAAAACAGGGGATGTGATGCTGCAGTGGTTCTCAGCTCCAATGGAGTGGTTGTCGGTGCAAATGGTGGTTCCTGATGCAAGAAATCGTAGTATTGCAAAAAGGAAAAAGGGGAATGAGTTAATGGTTTAATGCGCAGAGATTATGATCAAATCAGAGAAAAACGAAAAAAAAAAAAATCACGTGCAAGTTTTTTTTCCTTATAGTTGCCACTGTACTCCTTCCAGAGTGGTCGTCGGCAATCGCAGCTAAGATTGGTCGTCGGAGGTTGGATGTCCACAGTTGTCGCCGCTCTTCCCTTCAAGAGATGCCTTTCGTTTCAAGAGATCAGAGATGTTCGGAAACGAAGGAAACACAATCTTCCATCATGTTCGCTGGCTGCTGCTGCAAATTTTGGTCGCCGGCGGGTGGTTGTTCGGACTTCGGGAAGGTAGGTGTCGGTGTGCTGTTGTCGTCTTCTTTGGTGAAGCTTGTGAAGATATTGGGTTTTGGCAAAACAAAACCCTACAGGGAGGACTGGTCCGACTGGAGGAGTCATCGAATGTTTAGTTGGGATAGGTTTGTTGTTTTCTTTTTTGTTTTTTTTTTATTTTAAAACAAAATAATAAATCAAAATAAATATAAATGCTGAACCACTAACTGCTGCCCGGGTCAAACGAGTCGATGGTTTGATCATCTGGGTCAACAATTTTTTGACCATTTCAACGGTTTTGGGGTGGATGACGGTTCGGGGTAAAATCAGAACCGTTTGAGTGACTGGTTTCCAGTCTGAACGGTCCAACCGTCCAGGTCAATGACAGTTCGAAAACGTTGTTTCATCATATAAAGCCTTTTAATAGTATAAACTTTTCCATAGATGTATTCACAGGTTTATGTTTTACTTGTGGAGTCAGATTCTTGTGTGTGCATTTCCATACATTAATTTCAAGCACTGAGTTACCTTGGAGTAGAACTTGTCTACTGTTTCGCTAGCCTGAGATGAAACCTTATAAAGTCTGTGGCTAAGGCCCAAGGGACTAAAGCTTACTAATACTGCTCTAATCATTCTTCTAGAAATGAATTCTGGAACCATTTCCAGCTTTAAAGGTGGTGTTAAGCGGCTTCAAATCATTGAGCACTGCCATAATACCATTCAAGAAACTAATGCCACATGTTGATTTTATTGGCCTATAAAACCATCTAATCAAGGGCTCCACTATATTTGGCCACCACCACACTTTTCCACAAGCCTGCCTCTTTTCTGGGAAATCTCCAGAGCCAATCCATAAAAAGTTTTAGGACATACCCAGTCATATTCCCATTTGACAAAGGGTTTATCTTCTTATCCGTCATACCTATAAGAAGTTCTGAATCTTGTCAATTCTTTTAATTAGTGAGAAAGGTATATTTAACCCAAAATATAATGAAAAATGATGTAATATGATATGTGAACTTTCTGCATAATTAACTCAAAATATTATTACCAATCAAGATATAAATTGTTGTAGTTTTGTTGGTAGAACATGTGATGGACCCCAAATCAATCATGCTAAATGTAATATTACTTGTTCTTTGAGGATGGTACTAGACTTGTGGGCATGGCTCTGGAGCCTGACAGTCAAACATAGAACCGTGGGATGTGTATGCTTTTCTGATGTTCAATAATTTTCTTGTCTGCACTTATCCAAAAAGAAATCGTCTGCAACTCCTTATTACATGTCCAATTCTGCAAATCCTCATCCTATCATACCTCAATTTATGCGTTATGAGATTCTTGCACTGTATTTATCTAGGGTTCATTGAAGATGATAGGGTTAGTTGCATTGATTCTATTATCCATTTTTGTTCTCTAGCATATCTTTTATTTAATAGCTAATTCTCTAGCATATTTGGTTATATGATTGGTGATTTGTTTTTGTACAAGTATTAAAGTGGCTCAATTAATGTTACTTTCTATCGTTGGCACAATGGGAACTACAGGCTGGATTATCATTATAGTTGTTTTTGGTTGTTTCTGTAATTTCTAAATTCTTTTTGTTTTTTTTTTCCCTTTTTCGTCTTTGTGTGTGTGCACATGTTGCATAAGAAAAGCTCGGCTGTTTCGAAAAATAGTCTGGGCTGCTTTGAAACTTCAAGCACATGAAACATTATCCCACTTAGTTCTTTATTTGCCCTTTTAATTAAAAGAATATTGATTGAAATTACTTTCACCCCACACCCTTGCTAACACGTCATACACATGAAACTTAAAAACAGCCTGGGCTGTTTTTCCAAACAGCCAAGCTTTTCCACATGTGCATGCTGCCGCACGGGTGTGTGTGGGTGGGTGTTGAATCTTCTCAAATGTTGCCCCATTGTCAATTCAGAGGGCACTGATTTTTACAGTTGGCGTTGTGGTGGTTAAGACATTGTTCCTTTCTTGATATATCTGATGAAGGGAGATGGACTTGATCAGAAACAATGAATTAATTGTAATTCATTTTTGTTTCACCTAACCTTGGAAGGAAAGGACTAATTAGATTCGTTTAACCATGTGGCAGCTTCTGGAAATATCCGTCAGCTTTACTGTCTACAAGGTGACTGAGGTTGTTAGGTGTTGTCGCATGATCAAGCTCTTGCAGTGATGGTAAACTGGGTGATTTTCTCGGTCATTATGGTCATTTTGACATGAGACTTCATCTGTCGCCATTTCTGGTAAGACTGCAGGCAGTAGAGAATGGTAACATGTTTCGTGCTGTGATGCATCCACTTATCTTATGAAGCTGGCACAATGCAATAGTAATATTTGGGATGAATTGTCCATGTTCTTTTGTTAACCAGGGTTCACTCCTTGTGAAATTGAGGTTTTTGGTTTCTTGGGTTTAATCTTTTATCCTTTTATATTTAGTTTTCTTGGGGATTTAATTATTGGTTGAAATAATCTCTTGTAGATAGAACAGATTTTTTATTGAATCGATTTGTTATTTGGCAAGCATCTATTACTCAAGGATACCTACTCCGGAATGGTTTTTGTTATTATAATAATTAAATAATTCTGAGTCGTTGTTTGCCATGTTGACCTCACCTCTAGCTCTTTTTTCTTTTTTACGAGTGACCGACCTCTAGCAATTTTCGGGCTATTGCTAGGTCATCTGGAAATTGAGATTTTCGAAAACAGTTTTGTAACGCAGTAGTACTCAGGTGAAATGCAACCGAAAAGAACACAAGAATTTTAGGTCCATATGAGGTTTCTATTACCATATGGTTACTAGTATGATATGGGAAAACTTGCAACCAATCAAATACCATTAAAGTGGTAATCAATTTTGTCTTCCCAACATGAGAGTTTTACCCTTAACATATAACTTGTAACAAATCAAGGGAGAGTGTTGTCCCTCTTTCGTCAGATCAAACAACTATTCCTCTTCACTCTCGGAGCTTTGACCAATCACCCCACCCCTGGAATTTTGATGAAAATCTACCTGATTGGCTATGATTATGGGTAAACATGAATCGAGTTTTTCATAAGCTATTTGATCTTGATTTGTAAAAAGTTTAATTTGGTTTGGCCTAAATTGAGTTTGAAGTTGAGCCTAAGCCCAATAGATAGGCTTGTTTGTTAATCGACTTGAGCTTGAGCCCAATAAAGCTTGGCTGGTAAGGCTTGTGAGCTTATGGTCATGAGCTCGAATGTTTTTATAGGAAGTTTGGCTCATGGTCGAGCCAATAAAGTCTCTAGTTTTTTTTTTTTTTTTGTTAACTAATCAAAATATAGTACTCATAATGAAACAAAAGTTCTTTACATCAGGTGCCCAAGAAGGATAACTTCAAAAAGTAAAAAGGTCTTGGTCTTTGCTCTATAGGCAACTGTATGAATTGGGATATTGTACTTTCTATTTACATAACAAAAAGAAAAGGAGATGAAAGATTGAGGTAGAGTTTTGGTCTTTTGCAAAAGCCAAAGGCAAGACCAATTAAGACCAATGAGGATATGCCCTGATGAGAACTGCCTTGGGAAAAGTATTCCATGCAATATTGTCCATAGTTCAAAATCTCTAGTTTGAATCGAGCTCGAGATCTCATAATTTTTTGGCAATCTGTACTAAAATAGAGATATTCAACTTGGCTCAACTTGAATCCATTTTTAGTTACCACTTTTATGATGCCTAGATACCAATTGATTGGCTATAAGTTTTTTTAGTATCATGTACTTCTACCATCATAGTTGAAACCTTATTTCATTCCTTTTATATCCCTACTCTCATATTAGGTCCATTTGGTTCCCCGGAATTAGTGCTTAGAAATAGAATTGAAAAAGGCCCATTTCTGGTTCCAATCACTTGTTTGGTGGGAACGAGATCTTATTTTCCTTTCTTGGCAAAATGGGATTCTTTCATATTGGGGGAATGACCATTCCAGCCCTCTAATGTGATTCTAGATTTTCTAAAGTAGAGATCTCTTGACAAAAAAAAAAAGAAAAACACCGTAATACACATTACCTAATGTTAATAAAACAATAAAATATTATTTAAGTAATAATAAGATAATATTAATAAGGTGATAATAAAATAATATACTAATGATAAAATTAATAAATTATTAATAGAATATTAGTGTGCAACTAAAAGGATAAAAGTTCAAGTTACCATTATAACCAAAATTTATTTTTATGACCTGCACATAAACCAAGTATTTGCTTTATTAAGTATAGATATAGATATGCTTATGTTTGTTTAAAATTTATATTTTATTCATTAGTAAAATTAGTTTGGATGTTTGATTTTTACTAAAAAGTCATTGATTCAGGTTTCATAAAATTTCTTTTTTATATATTGTTCATGATATACAATATAAAAGTCATTTTTATTTGGGTGCAAATGGTATCTCATTGTCCAAATTTGGATTTGATTTTGATATGTTTATAGTTTATACTTACATATAATCCAATTTGATTAGATTTAAATTTATGTTTTCGTATATTTAAAATTTATATTGTATCTATTAGTAAATTTAGTTTGAATGACATGTTTTTACTAATCTATTATAGGTTCAAGTTTTATACAAATAATTTTAAATTCATGCTATTCAGTTTATTAATAATAAATAACATTTTGATCATGTTTAGTTTAATTTATTTATACTAATCAATATATGATTGCAATGTAAATTCAACTCGAATCCCATACAAATCACAAGTTCCATTTCAAATACAAATATACAAAACAAATCAAATTTGGGTCTCTACCTAAGGGTAAATTACAAAAAAACCCCTTGTATATGAGGTTAGTGACAATTGTACCCGTAAACTTTTCCCCATAAGGATTTTGCCAGTTAACTTCGACAAAGATTTTCAAGAAATTATTTAAAGTTTTCTAAATCCCCAAACTGCCTTTTTAATTATTTATTCGAATGATTCATGGTTAATTTAATTTTCTAAATATGACATTGAGTTATTCCTTAATAGCAATTTGACATTGTGGTGTCTTGTTTATATTCATAAAAGTGAGAATTTTATTTCTTGTTTTTCACTATATCTTAAGATGTTATTGGAATTATTTTACTTCTTTATCAACTCTTGCCAAAATTTTTTCCTTTAAGGCGTAACATAGAGTTATTCACCTGTGAGATGGTAGAAGTATTTTTTTTTAGGGAGAAGCAATATAAGATCAACAAATGAAGATATCATTGAGTCCGCTAGGGTTTAAGAACATATTTTTTTGGGTAAAAGACTTGAACCTCCCCCAATGTTTTTCACAAATACTAATACCTCCCCTATTATTTCTAACAGGACTCAAAACTTCCTTTGTCAACAAAATGTGACAGCATATTTGACAGAATCAATGAAAAGACTATTTTATCCTTAATTATTTTTCAAATTTTCAAAGAGAACCACTTAAACTGTAGTAATCTAAAACAATTATCTATATAAATATATTAAGTTGAAATGTGTACTTAAGAAGGCATGAGGATGAGGGAAATGGAATCTAACAGTATTTTTTTGCCTTTTTTCATAGAAATTACAAGAATGCCACTCTCTTCCAATTCTCTCTCTTTTGTTTTTTTTCTTTCAAATTACAAGAATGCCACTCTCTCTCCAATTGAGGGAGACTTCAACTCAGCATCTCGACTGCTAGGGGACCTACAATCAAAGGTAGTCGAGTTCGAGTTGTACTGAGTTCGAACTTTTGAGCTCAAGTTCAAGTCTCTAATTCAAATCGAGCTCGAGGTAGACGACACCTTGACCACTGATGGAGACCTTGGCTTGGCACCTTGGTCACTGAGGAAATCTCGGCTCAGCACCTTGACAATTGAGGGAGACCTTAGCTCGGCACCTTGTCAACTAAGGGAGACCTTAGCTCAACTCCTTGCCTGCTAGGGAAACCTCAGCTCGACACTTCAGTAGCTGAGGGAAACCTCAATTTGGCACTTTGGCTCGGAACCCCAGTTCAATACCTCACTACTTGAGAAACCTGTAATCAAAGGTAGCCGAACTCAAACTTTCGAGCTTTTGATTCAAGCCAAGTCCATGTCTCTAAGCTTGAACCTGATAGTTTATGAACGAGCCCCTGCAACGCAGGGCCCCCTCCACTAGTATACGGTTAACTCAAATTAACCAAAAAGAATATTAGAGCTTCTCCAAGTCTCTAATCGCCATTCATAAATACTAATACTTGTTGTAGGCTTCTCATTGACATTGTTGATCAACGGCTGTTGTAATGATGTTGCCGTTGTCTTCTACTTATTTACTTCTTTATCAATGTTTAAAAGAGGGCTCAGGGTTGTTTAAACGATAAAGATCTCTCAGCAAGAGAGAAGAAAGGTGGTTAATGGTTGGGATAATGGCTTCCATATAATAGTCGTTTAAGGTTAGAGTAGAACTAAAAGATACTATAGATTTGGTTCCTTCAATTAGATTGTTACTTGTTCATGGCACGACTGACATGATTGGTCATGTTTAATCACACGCTTTCTGATTTTTGTGGATGAGCATTGGATTACGCGTTGCTATTTCAGTTGAGCAAAAATTGGGTTTTTGAAAAAAATTTAATGACACATATGTCACATATTAAGGGACGGTTAGGGAAGGGAGGTGAAAGTCCAATGACATCAGCAAACAAGGGAAGTCATAGTCAATATTTAGATGAAACTTCGGGAAAAGTATGAAATACTTCTGACCAATCAACTGAAATCGTAAACATGATAGCCAATCAGGCATTAATCATATTGTTTATCAAATTTTATGGGTGGATTTTGATTGATCGAAACTCTTTTTATACCATGTCTTCCCCGCATCATATATTTTCCCATATTCAACGATAGATCCGTTTAAGGGTATTTTAGAAGAATAACAATAGTGGAAATGTCTATTTTTGTCATTTTGTAAGTTGGTGATAAGGGTGTAAATGGTATCTAATTCCGAATTTGATATTCGACGTAATTGAATTGAATTCGAATGGTTCAATAAATTTAATGGTCGAATTTGAATTTATACATTTTACCAATTAACTTGAAGAGGGGTTATGTCCATCATAAAAAAGCTGACATCTCAGGCTGCAATGATGTCACCTACTCGAGTGGTCATTCTTGATAGGGATTATAGCTAATAAGGAAAACTTTTGGGTCATAATATCAATAAAAATAATCCTTTCGATATAATTTCTAAAATAGGCTAACCTTTTTAAAAATATATAAAAAAGGGCAAAAATACTATTAATCTTCTTCCTCCTCCAAACCACTGAATAAATCTCTTTCAACTCTCTCAAGATTAATAAATATTTGGGATTATAAGTACTACGTGCATAACCGAGTTTACACAGTCTTACTTTTAGCTAAATCAATTGAGTATTGAATGATTCTCAGTCACCTTCAAATTCTATTGTTGTCTGTTTCCAGCGAAAGCCAAACAAACCTGTGAGACATTTCCATTATAAAGGATGCACATCCAGCACGATATCCCGTGGAAATGGAGGCCTATCTTCAATATCCTTATTGTGCGATG